GAATAAAGCAAAGTAAAGATCCATGATGATCTTAATTTTCTCCTTTGTATAATAGGGAGACCACTTAAAAATCCCCCAAGGGATAACCAATATATATCTAGGTCCCAACTTGCTCGGATCAGCTTCTCCAATTCGGCAAAGCGAGAATGCCTAACTACTCTGATTGGATGCCAATCTCATGGAACCAGAAATCAACGTGTTCTCGTGCAGTGGAATGCGAAACGACCCGATGAGAAAATGAGGCACATGGAACGAGGGCGCGCCGTAAGAAATGTCATCGAAACCTTCTTCTTTTGCTTGACCTGAAAAGTAAGTCAACCATTGACCCCTAAAGTCATTCAGGCTTGGCCTCAAATCATACACTCAACAAAAAAAAAAACTCTTATCTCTCAAATCCTTCAATAATTCTCATTTTTCAATTCCGACTTAAAAATTTCTGATGTTTCGTCACGCTTTATTAATTTTCTCCATACTAGTTTCCGCCGCCGCTGCCGTCGGAGAAGGAGCAACGGCGGCGTACACTCCCACCGATGTTTTTCTCTTCAACTGCGGCGCTACCTCCGACACCGTCGACAACACTGGCCGGAACTGGACGGCGGAGAATCGGAAAATTCTGTCGTCGAATCCAGTCAACGCGTCGTTCCCTTCGGAATCATCATTCCAAGACTCCGGTGTTCCTCAGGTGCCTTACACGACGGCTCGAATTTTCCGATCTGAATTCACTTACAGTTTTCCAGTTTCTCCCGGCGATAAATTCCTCCGGTTATATATTTACCCGACCAGTTACAAACCGGGTTTCGACGCCGTCAACTCCTTGTTCTCCGTCACCGTCAACGGTTTCACTCTAATGGAAAACTTCAGCGCGGATTTAACGGTAAGGGCTTCCAAACCGGTATCAAATTTCTTAATCAAAGAGTTTATCGTCCCGGTTCACCACAACACGTTGAATCTCACCTTCACGCCGTCTCCGAACTCTTTAGCTTTCGTTAACGGAATCGAGATTCTCTCCATTCCTGACCGGTTTTACTCAAAGGGAGGATTTGACGACGTGATAACTAACGTCGGTAGCACCGTTGACTTCCACATAGACAACAAAACCGCTTTCGAGACCGTTTACCGGTTAAACGTAGCCGGACAAGACGTCAGCGACACGGATATGTTCAGGCGTTGGCTTTCCGATGATGAGTTCATACTCAGCGAAAACTCAGGACTCAAACCGGACGTACCGGATGCGGAAATAACCTACACAGAGGAAACTCCGGTTTACGTTGCGCCGGAAGATGTGTACAAGACGTTTCGCTCCATGGGGAACATCAAGAATCCTAAACTAAACCTTAACTTTAACTTGACATGGCCCTTAAATGTCGATGCCGGGTTTAACTATCTTGTTAGGCTTCATTTCTGTGAGACTTTACCTGAAGTAGACGAAACAGGAGAACGTGTCTTCTCCATCTTCTTGGGAAATCAGATGGCTAAGCTTGAGATGGATGTGATTCAGTTGAGCGGTGGTTCTCGGGTTCCGATGTATCTAGATTTCAATTTATATGTTGGTTCTGAAAATGGGCAGAGTCGTAATCTGCAACTTGACTTGCGTCCTTACAATGAGACGAGTCCAAGGTATCTTGACGCTATTCTGAATGGTTTAGAGATTCTCAAGCTGAGTGACCCTGAAGGTAATCTCGCTGGACCTAATCCAGATCCTCCACCACGTTTTACACCGAACTCTGCAACGCGAGAAAGAGAAAAAGACAAAGGAAAGTCTCATGTTTTGGTTATAATACTCGCAGTGGTTGGTTCTGCAATTGTGCTAGCAATGTTTGTTGTTGTCTTCATCATCATGAAGAGGAAGAAGAAGAAGAAGAAGAAGAAGGAGGAGTTTAGTGTAAATAACACAAGCAAGACTACAAGCTCGTGGACTCCTCTGCCTCATCATACCGGGTCCACGGGCTCATCTCTGCCGTCAGATCTCTGCCGTCGATTCTCAATCGTCGAAATCAAAGCCGCCACAAACGATTTCGAGGAGAAACTAGTCGTTGGAGTAGGCGGGTTTGGTACAGTTTACAAAGGAAGAATCGACGGTGGAGCCACGCTTGTGGCGGTTAAACGGTTAGAGATCTCATCGAACCAAGGAGCTAAAGAGTTCGAAACAGAGATCGAGATGCTCTCAATGCTCCGACACATACATCTCGTTTCTCTGATCGGATATTGCGACGACGAGAACGAGATGGTGCTTGTCTACGAGTATATGCCACACGGTACACTTAAAGACCATCTTTACAAGAGAAACAAGGTCTTTGATCCTCCATTGACGTGGAAACGGAGGTTAGAGATTTGCATTGGAGCGGCTCGTGGTCTACAGTATCTCCATACAGGCGCGAAGCACATGATCATACATAGAGACATCAAAACAACGAACATACTTCTTGATGAGAACTACGTAGCTAAAGTCTCTGACTTTGGGTTGTCTAAAGTGGGTCCTACTAGTGCATCTCAAACGCACGTCTCGACGGTCGTTAGAGGAACGTTTGGTTACTTGGACCCTGAGTATTGTCGCCGTCAAGTCTTGACGGAAAAATCTGACGTGTACTCATTTGGAGTTGTTCTTTTGGAGGTTATGTGTTGTAGACCGGTCAAACTCCAGAATGTTCCACCGGAAGAAGCAGATTTGATCAGATGGGTGAAGTCAAACTACAAGAAAGGAACCGTTGACGAGATCATCGACGAAGATCTAACGGCTGATATTACTCCGATATCGTTGGAGAAGTTCTGTGGGATCGCGGTGAGATGTGTTGAGGGTCGTGGAACCGAACGGCCATCAATGAACGACGTCGTTTGGGGGCTTGAGTTTGCGCTTCAGCTTCACGAGAGTGGTGAAAAGATTAATGACGTGGATTCTCTGGATATGCCACGTGGTGAGGTAGGTACGACAACGGACGGAGAAGATTTGTTTAGCAGAACTACAGGACACGTGTCGAAATCTACCACGTCCGATGGTGATGATTCTGTTCCTCTTGCGAGTGATTCGAGTTGGGGAGTATTTTCAGAGATCAAAGATCCTAAAGCAAGGTAGGTTTTGATTGTTGGAGTTACCATCCTGGTTATATGTATTATTATATTTTGTTAAATTATGATGTATATCTATTTTGTATTTAAAATTAAAATTATTTACTATATATATGTGGTCCAGCAGATTTCAATGTATATAAAACACTTATTTCTAGTATAATTTTGCTACATGTCAAAAGAGTTATTTTTTTTTCTAAAATCGATATCCGTCATTGGATGGGGAAGCTCTCTGGATCAAGTTAAACAGAGAACTGAATATTGCGGCATATCACTTGAAAATACAGTTGATCTATGTGTTTATTTCAATTAGATTCCTTCAAGGTTGTCAAACTAATTGTATTACTCTTATAATGTTTAATCTAATGAAATTAGGCGTTAAAATAAACAATTATTTTTTAGACTGTTTTTCGCTTAACGAAAAAATCACACAACTATCCTTCTAGAACAAAATAAAGAAGTAATTAAAAAAAAAAACGTTAATCATACCACATAATTATCCTTCTAGAATAAAAAGAAACAATTATTTTTGACAACCACATAAATATAATTATCCTTCTAGAACTAAAAATTATTTTTGACACCGCTTTTTTCTTAACGAAAAAATCACACAATTATCCTTCTTAATCAAAATAAACAAGCAATTTTTTATTTTATACGCTCAATCATACCACATAATTATCCTTCTAGAACAACAACAGAAAAAAATATATATCCTTTTTTATTTAGCAACAAAACAAGTATGTATCCTATAATAATAATTACTCTTTATTTCCCCGGGAAAAAAAAGAATGTAAATATTCCACATCCATGAAATCTCTTTATAATAAAATATATAAGTTCTTTCAAGCCCTAACCTAGCAAAATCTTTAACGTACTCTTTCTCACTATGATGACAATGTTAAAGAGGCAAAGATTAATTCGTGAGGGAAAAAGAGTTCAAGAAATAGTGCCCGAAAACATAGAGTTAATCCTGAAGTTCTCTAAAGGATTCATAATCGATGAAGAAGATCCTACGCAACCTTACGAGTACTTTAAAGTTATGGTATGGACAGACGCAGAAGATCAGTACGAAAGACAAGTGGTGAAGTCTTTCAGAGGCTTCCATTGGTTCAACGATAAGCAATACATTGTAATTCCTTTAGATTTTCCTGAAGATCAATACCTTTACATTGAATTTCAAAGAATAAATTCGTGGCAAGATCCCGGAACATCGAAGGGTATTACTGTGTTGGGTCGGGCGAAGATTCCATTGCCTCCTCGGACCAGCGATCGCCTGATCACTTGTAAGGCCGGCCTCGTCGGTTTGAACAGTGATCGATGTGTAGTGTTTAAGGGACACCTAGATATTTCTATGAAACTTCATAGATATGTGGATGCTGAATATTTATCTGATTAAGTTGCGTTTTTATTTTTATTCTTTAATCGTAATATAGTTTTTCTTCTGATTTTGCTCTTAATCTATAAAGAGTTATTTATAAGTTGTGTTTGATTGCTCTTGATTTATATGGGTGATTTTCTATCCCATCTATTCATTTATACGTATAGGTGTAGGGATGGTTATGAATCATGGCATGTATATGCAGTTTACCTAATAAAGTCTTGCGTACTGTTAGTTTTCGATCATACGTAAGTAATTGACGTATATTTTAGACTTAATTTTTTCTTTTCTTATAGAAATAAGATTGGTATGCCTCTAACTTTTCCTTTACCCAATTTAAAACTTTTTAAGCTTAACATAATCTTCTGAGGTCTGAGCATGGCTTCAATTGTGTAGAACTATCTTTGGTTCATAATATGCAATTTCGTGGGCTTAGCATGTTCTTTAGAAACTCTATTTTGAGATCAACGCTATTGTGAGATTGATGAGATAGACCAAGATCGAATGGTCGATATTACGAAGATAAAGTAAGATTTAACTGATAAAGAAAAGATTTAGATATTTGTCAATATTTTAGTTTAGGAATATTAATGTATGTATTATTTCTATTAGTTTAGGAAACTCAGTTGTTTCCATCTCTATATACATATACGATAGAATTTTTATAAATTAATACTCAATAAATTAATAATTATTATAAATTAATAAATTTATCTGGTCTGAATCGAGTCAATATTGTAAAAATCCATCAAATTTGATAAAATAATAATTTTTTCGAAACCCCTTTGTAAATATATGGTTCCAACATAAATATAAATTAATAATTATAAAATTTTATGTATATATAGATAAGATGTAATATGCTAAAATATGATTAATATGTTGTTTTTTTTTATTTAAGTTTAAAATTTTATTAAAAATCATCTCTTTATTTAATTCTTACGGAAATCTATTATTCTTCCAATAAATCAAATATTCATCCACTAACACAATTATGTTATTATATACTGTATGATATTCAAAGGAAAAATTAAACATCTCTCTTTTTATTTTATTTTTCTCCCAAGATTAGTAGCCTATATATTTTTTTTTTTTGAAAAGGCCTTATATATTTAAATCTTTCCAAACCCCAATGCAGCCGAAGTCTTAAATTACTCATTCACGATGTTTATCTTAGCGGAAGCAGAAAATAATGAAAAACAGAGATTACTGTCTCATGAAGGAAAAAGGAAAATGGATCATGTAAAAAAAATTAAGGGTTTATAGATTAAACTAGATTTTGACCCGTGCTGTGCACGGGATTATGTTCTAATCAGTTTAGATATCTAGTTTTAACGTATGTAGACATACTATATTTATAAACTAATGATTTGTACTAAATTATATATAATTTAGAGTTAGATTAATAATTGTGTGTAGAGGAATGTTGTATTGTAATTGTCTTTAGCATTTTTTTTGTTACTTTGTTATATTATTGTTTTGGTTATTTGTTAGTTATTAAATAGTAAAATATGATTCGATAATTCATATTAGATATTGATGTGTGTAGACAAAAAAATCACGAATGTGATGTAAAATGGCATAAGCATTTGAATTAAGTGTCGATATTAAAAAAGTTCAAATCATGAAAATAATAATAGAATTAAATTAATTATGAATTAAGAATAATATATGGAATAGAAATACATTAAACTTCATAATCCGAATATGAAAAAGATGAGTTCATTCCTCTTATTATTACTAATGCAAATGAAAATGTACAATCATAGATAAATAATAAAAGCAAAACTCTACTAATCCATCACATTAGAATTTCCAGATGTGTTTTCCGCAGTCCTTCTCTTGTTCCAAAGACTGTATAAAAAAAAGAAAAAATAGTATAGTTACGATATGAGGCAAAAATAATATGGAAATATAGATATCCAAATTATTTACTATATTACTCAAGTCTGAAACGGAGGACTTCATCGATCGGTGGTGCAACAATGAAACGGGATAGTCTTCCTCCATCGTAATCATAGATAGTCATTCCATCTAAGCAAATATTATATGTTAGGAATATTATTAAACAGTAATAAAACAATCTAATATGAACTATTATTTAAACATACTCATATTTCTGTGAACAACCCAATCCGTCAAAACACATATGGCGTATTGTCCTTTCATAAGTTTGCAATCACACTTTTCTTTGATGTCATATGCCAAAACACCACGGGCAACGCAATCAAGCGTGTAATCCCTTAAGAAATGAATGAATATAAGTTGTATTAATGAAGAAAAAACAATCAACTTTATACTGTATATGACAGACTTACTCAAAATCTCTTATACGGAAACAAATGGTTGGGACCATTGTTCCATCTGGATGAACAGCAGTTACAATGTTTCCAATTGGTTTATCAAGAACACCTAATAAATCTGTTGGGACATATATGAGATTTATAAATTTGTATACATGAAAGTAGTTAATAAACAAAAAAAGTATAAATAAATGAAGCATATGTATTTTTTGTATGTTATATAATCAAATACGTACCAATTGGGTAGTAGTGTGTATGGCTTATTGTAAACATGACTGAAATCTGTCAACTTATGGAATGGATCTTCTGTCAAATGTCAAATGGTCGAGGCCTTTGTCTGATTGTTTAGGATTATTTGAAAAGCATGTCTGAGTCATTCTTTCTTCCCAGTTGGAATTAATCACACCAAACTTCGAAACTTCAACCCAAGCACCTTCTAAGAAAACACGTTCAATGTATGAAAGTTGAAGGTTGTCAACCGATGTAGCAATATTGGATCCCTGAATTTTTCATAAAATTTTGTCTAAGAAAATATGAATATAAAAATTATAAAATTACATATATAGTGTTTTTATAAAAACTTACATCTTCATCTATCAAAATGAAACTCATTCCTGGTAGACTATTTCCATCAAAGGATTCCCAACGTTTGTAAATCTTCACTTTGATGGTTTGTTTGTACTCTTCACAAGCAGTGACATCCTTAACCATTTGATAGTCAGCCATTATAAGTAGTACGAAAACTTTAGGTTTAAGTTTGGATTTAGTATTTTGGGTTTAGGGTTTATTATATTTTTGAGGGTTTAGAGTCTAGTTTTGAGAGGGTTAAAATTTTAATTTTAATTTTATGGTATTTGTGGAAAAAGCAATGTTTGTGATAGTTTTAGAAAAAAATATTAATAATAGTATTATGTTTGGAATGAAATCTTGTTTTAGTGGTATTTTTGAGAATTAAATTTGTCGAGCAATTTGAACTAGTTTCGCTAGGCAGACCAGGAAAACATAAGCAAACTAACTCATTCTTCTTTACTATATGTCATATAGTGAATAGTGGTCCCATTGATCTAGTTGATTTACTAATTGGTTCACATAAACTTATAATTTAGAGAAATGAAAATATCTGTATATTTGGTTTTAAATCAGCAAATATTAGACTTAGTGACCAGAGTCTTCTAGGTTAGTGAGTGATTGAACGGTATTTGTTTGATTGTTTTTGTTTTTTAAGTTAATAGTTTTTTTGGTTGACAGAGTCTTCTACGTTTGTGTTTGTTTGATTATTCTCGATCTGATTAATTTATTCGAAACATCTCAGTCATAAGTCAACGGTTGACCCATAGACTCACTCACTTTTTTTTTTTTTTTTGAAAATATTAGACTCATTCGCTTCATGTCTTATCTTCTTCATAATCGGCCTAGATCTTGTTTTTTTTTTCTTTCTTAAAAACAAATCCGATGATCTGCTACATTTTATTTGTTTTGAATATTCTCGTTTCCGTCACCAATGGAGCAACGGCGGCATACGATCCCACCGAAATCTTCTTCATCAATTGCGGCGCTACCTACAACACAGTCGACGGTGGCCGAACTTGGACGTCGGAGGAGCACAAGCTTATGGCGTCGAATATACTCAACGCATCGTTCTCTTCAAATGTTTTATACAAAGACGTTGTGGATTACCAGATTCCGTACATGGAAGCTCGGATTTTCCAATCTGAATTCACCTACAGTGTTCCACTCTCTCCCGGCTTGAAATTCCTCCGGTTATACTTTTACCCGACCCGTTACATATCCGGTTTCGACGCCGTCAATTCATTCTTCTCCGTCACCGTCAACGGTTTCACTCTCTTGAAAAACTTCAGTCCCGATTTAACCATAAGGACTTCCAAAACCGGAATCAAGTCAAACCTGAAAGTGCATATTCGTGGCTAGCTCTATGTGCGTTCTAATATACTTCACGACCATAATGAACATATGACAAGCATAAAGTAAAGAACACACGGCATTTTTAACGAGGTTCAGTTTCCCTACATACTTGAGACCTAGTCCAGAACAAATCCACTAGAACAAGATTGCAATTACAATTGCGGTAGTATCCAACACTACAATGCCTACCACTCTTTTCTAGATAGAGAACCTTTAGATACGATATCTCTACAAAGACTACCGCTCGGCTACAACCGATACAAACACCATCTTCCAGATGTGTTTATACTCCATAAACTATCACCAATGAACTTTACAAGTCTCGTATGGTGGGACGACGCCACACACCTGTGTGCATCTTACAACAATACCCTAAGCGCGTCACCTGTTTATGAAACCGCCTTTTGGTATATATATCGATCCTAAACCCTAGGATCTTCAACAGATTCGGCTAGATACAACTTGCTCCCCAAGTTTATCTACTTACCAAATCTGTTACACCAGATATACGTTCCAGTGATTTTATCCAGCTCAGCAAACCACTTGCCACGTCAGCTTCTGCGCCACACCAAGTTCTTGCCTCCTGATATGACGATTGACTCATCAACTGACTCATCGACTAACTCATCGACTAACTCATTGACTGATTCATCGTCTGATACATCCGCTGATGTAACCAACTGCAATATTCTTGATCACCACAATATTTTTCCATCAGGTGTTGATCACTGATTATCACTCGCATATACCACTGTTTTCGCATCTGCTCTACTAGCACCTGCATCAAACACTGCCTCAGCAACTGCATCAGAAACTGCCCAGTGTCCCTGTCTGAACTGCCACATTAAGATCATCGATTCTGTCTCAATCTAGCATATGTGTCTTGTTTCCACAGCTCACGCTTTAGCCTCACGTCATCAGAAGCTATGTACTGCTTCCTTGTATTACTTCGTGAGTTACTTTGAACTGATACAACAACTACTTCTAGACACTTGCTCAAGTCAGTCAACACAACACTTTCAAAACCTTCCAAAGAGTTTATCGTTCCGGTTAACCAGTCTCTCAATCTCACCTTCACGCCGTCTCCGAATTCGGTAGCTTTCGTAAACGGCATCGAGATTGTTTCCATGCCTGATCGGTTTTATTCAAAGGGAGGTTTTGACGACGTCATCACAAACGTTGTTAGCACCGTTGACTTTGAAATTGATAACACAACGGCTTTCGAGACCATTCACCGGTTAAACGTAGCCGGCCAAGACGTCAGCAAAAGTATCTCGACGCTATTCTGAATGATTCTCAAGATGAGTGATTTTGACAGTAATCTCGCTGGACCTAATCCAAATCCTACACCAAAATCTGTAACGCAGGATATAAGAAAAGGCAAAGGCAAATCACATGTTGTGGTTATAACACTCACAGTGATTGGTCTCGCAATTGGGCTGGTGACGTTCATTGTTATCCTCAAGTTGTTGATGCGTCAGATGAAGAGGAAGAAGAATAGGAAGGAAAATAGTGTCATCATGTTCAAGGTTTTATTGAAACAATACACTTACGCAGAAGTGAAGAGAATTACAAAGTCATTTTCACACATTGTTGGGAAAGGAGGATTTGGAACTGTCTATGGAGGAAGCCTCTCTAACGATCGTAAGGTTGCGGTAAAGGTATTGAAGGATTTGAAGGGAAATGGTGAAGATTTCATCAACGAAGTTGCTAGCATGAGCCAAACATCTCATGCAAACATTGTATCTCTTCTTGGTTTCTGCAATGAAGGGTCCAAAAGAGCAATTATATATGAGTTTCTAGAGAATGGGTCCTTGGATCAGTTCATCTCTAGAAAGAAGCCATTGACTCTCGATGTGACAACGCTATATGCCATCGCGCTAGGCATTGCTCGTGGATTGGAGTACTTGCATTACGGATGCAAAACAAGAATTGTGCATTTGGACATTAAACCTCAGAATATTCTGCTAGATGGCAATCTTTGTCCTAAAGTCTCAGACTTTGGCCTTGCTAAATTATGTGAAAAGAGAGAAAGCATTATGTCACTGATAGATGCAAGAGGAACTATAGGTTACATTGCACCTGAGGTGTTCTCAAGAATGTATGGCGGAATCTCCCATAAGTCAGATGTGTACAGTTATGGAATGTTGGTCCTCGAGATGATCGGAGCAAGAAACAAAGAAATAATTGAAACCACAGCTTCCAACGCTAGCTCAACCTACTTTCCTGATTGGGTCTATAAAGGATCTTGAAAACGGACAACAACAAACGTGGAGACTTGGAGATGAGATAACTAAAGAGGAAAAAGAGATTGCAAAAAAGATGGTCTTGGTGAGTCTCTGGTGTATTCAACCTTGCCCAACAGATCGTCCATCGATGAACAAAGTCGTCGAGATGATAGAGGGAAGTCTGGATGATCTTGAAGTCCCCCCTAAGCCTTCTATGCATATTTCCACAAGGTTTATTCCTGAATCTTCTTCACTTACTTCACTTTCTAATGGCGAGGAAGATGGGGAAAACTCAAACCTTTGATTCTACGAATATATAGCGCCAAAGTGTGGTTCATTTCTGATTTCTATTGAAAGAAATCTAAAAGATAAGAAACATTTTAAAATACAGTAGGATAGTGTTCAAATATTTTCTAAAGAATCTGATAGTATCAGTATCATGTTATGCATATGTTTTTTCTTGAAACGGGATATCATGTACTGTATTACTCCTAGAAAACCCGGTTTACTTTTGTGATAAAGTTGGCACGACCTACTAATGTGCACGTTGAGTATCATTTGATTAGTTAGAAAGTTGATTACTTACATAAATAACAGTTAATTTGGTAAGCAATTTTTTAAATGATACGGGTTTAATTGAATTCATTGTGACACCACAACGCTAACATTTTTAACTCAAACATACAATACTAGACAAAAGTAATGGTTTATTCCCTTACTAACTAAGTAGATATGTCTTTGAAAAGATAAAAAGGTTAATTACATCAACTAGTTAGTGTGAAGTTTACCAAAAAAAAAACTAGTTAATGCTAACCTAGAGTTTCTTTATTAACAAAATATAAATTAGTATGTATTCCCAAATTTAAAAGAAAATCGTAGAGGAAACGAACACCAATTTGATTTTTAGGTTCAATCGCATTTCTCTGTCGATTTCATAAACGAAAAATGAACCTCTCAGACGATGTTTCCAAAGTTATTGTGGATCTAAACTAAATTAGATTTCATGTTGACCAAAGAAATAAACTAAATTAGATTTCATTTGTTTATTTGTTTTCTCGAGAAAATTATAAATTAATACGCAATGCGCAATTTTCCACGAGGAAATGACAACGTGGTTGGAAAAGAAACAGCATCAAATCGATATTCCATGGCTAGAAAATAAGATCCTTATTAGACAGAACACTAAAATCCTTAAGTTTCTCTCCACCGAAACCTCAATATTCTTAAGGGAGATAAAGAATACCCAACAATTTAAAAAAAAAAATATTTTTGAGATGGGCAACAAGAAACTGTTGACTGGTAGGACGTCAAGCAGAGGTTATGGTAGTGGAAGCAGAGATCCTCTGTTGCAGAACCAGGTCTGTTTTCCAATTCCATAAATCTTTCTTGTTCTTACTTTTATGTCGATGATTCATGCTTTTTTGTAAAGTTTCATGATCGATGTCCGGAAAGGTTTTGTCCTTTGACTCTGGAAGTTGAGTCAATTTATCAGAAATTTCTTAATTTGTAACTGTTATTTGAAGATTTGTGGTTTTTAGAACACTCGCGAGTGTCATGTGACTTAGAATTACTGGTCAATTCGAAGAGTCTGGCTAATTTTTTGAAGGGTTCTCACTTTACCAGTGATCATTCAATTTGAACAATTAGATTGTCCTAACAGAAGCTAGTCACAGAAGAAGGTTTGAATCTTGAATCTGATTGTGGCTCAGTGAAAAAACCTTGGCTCATATAACTAACCGAATTTCTAATTGTTTGATTGTCCTAACACACAGAAGGTCCTTCAAAATTTGATTCTTGAATCTTATTTTGCCATGTTTATGCTTGAAAACTAAGAATGTGCTTCAGTGAAAACCTTGGCTCCAAATAACTAAGCGAATTTCTAACTGTTAGTTTGTCTTAACAGAAGCTAGTCACAGAAGAAAGTCCTTCAAAGTTTGATTCTTGAATATGATTTTGCCATGTTTATGCTTGAAATGTGCTTCAATGAAAACCTTGGCTCCATATAACTAACCGACTTTCTAACTGTTATTTTGTTTACTCATTCTTCTTTCGAGCAGACAAGCGAGAATGGTCCGAATGATCTCGAGCACGGTGTAACTGAGGTATTTGTTTGTGCTGTTTTTGACACAAACTTTTTATAAGTAGAAGTGATATTATCTTATTTGGTTTTTTTCAGGCAGCAAATGTAGGGTTTGGCAGAGTCTTTTCGTTGGTGAGTGGATTCTTGGTCAGCAAAATCGTTTAGTAGTTTTATATAAAGATTCGTGATTTACTCAAAAATTTATGCTTTCCAGGCAAAACCTGATGCAGGAAAGCTAGTGATTGGTACCATTGCTTTGTTGATAGCTTCAACAACGAATCTCCTCGTTGTATGTGTCTCATCTCTCTATCTTTGACTTCATATTAGGAGTTAATACTGTAGAAGGACTAATATCTCTTTTTTTTTTATGTGATGCAGCCAAAATTTGGTGGAATGATTATAGACATTGTATCCAGAGATGTCAAGACGCCTGAACAACAAACGGAATCCATTCGCGCTGTTAGAAACGCCGTAGTAATCATTTTGCTTATCGTTGTTATTGGGTAATTACATTCTTCAAGATTCTTCCTTTAGTCATTGCTTTGAGCTTTAGAGTTTTGGTTTGGTTCTATAACTTTTACTTTTCTGTTTTCTTGGTTTCTTTAGATCGTTATGCACAGCTGTGCGAGCGTGGCTATTTAATTCAGCCAGTGAAAGAGTTGTGGCTCGATTGAGAAAGGATTTGTTCAAACACTTAATGCATCAGGTAAAGAATTTACTCAAGACTCTTATGGTTTCCTTTATCTATTGCTTTGGTTCTTTTGGTTAGTCTTTCACGCATTGTCTGTGACTTTTGATATCTAATGAGTTAACTCCACAAGAACTTGATATGCTTTTATAAGAGAAAGAAACTTAAAAATGTTTTTTTGTTGCTCTCTGCTGACAGGAAATAGCATTTTATGATGTTACGAAAACCGGAGAACTCTTAAGTAGACTATCTGAAGACACTCAAATCATAAAAAACGCTGCAACTACAAATCTTTCTGAAGCTCTTCGTAATGTAACAACCGCGCTTATTGGAGTTGGTTTCATGTTTACATCATCTTGGAAACTAACATGTAAGATGCTTCTCCTTTCTTGTTTGGTTTCTGTTACCAATAGATGGAATAAGAAGACAGACTTAATCTTCTTGTTCATGCTTTTACAGTGTTGGCACTAGTAGTGGTTCCAGTAATTTCAGTTGCAGTGAAACAATTCGGGCGATATCTCCGTGAACTTTCACACACAACTCAAGCAGCAGCTGCTGTTGCTGCATCAATTGCTGAGGTTATCTTTTTTTTCCCGTTTCTCATATAGATGTCTTTTCTCTGTTAGTATTTAAAAACTGGATTGGATCAATGTTTAGGAATCTTTTGGAGCAATCCGAACAGTTAGATCTTTCGCAAAAGAAGGTTATATGGTATCACAATACTCCGAGAAAGTCGATGAGACTCTGAAGCTAGGACTTAAACAAGCTGTGAGTCTTTGTGGAATAAACCATTTCCTAAATGTTAAATCTTTTTTTGATGTTTCTCTGAGAGGATATATCTGTTTTCTGAGTGATTTAGGTACTTGTTGGTCTGTTCTTTGGAGGACTAAATGCAGCTTTCACGTTATCTGTTATTACGGTTGTTAGTTATGGAGCATACTTAACAATAACTGGTTCCATGACCGTTGGAGCACTCACTTCCTTCATTCTATATAGCCTCACAGGTTTCATTTGCATCTGTGTTTCTTCCTTTATTTGGTATTTGTGGAAGAGATATTGTGTTTAAACTAAGATATTGTTTTGGCAGTTGGTTCATCGGTATCTTCTTTATCGAGTTTGTACACAACTGCAATGAAAGCTGCAGGCGCTAGTAGAAGGGTTTTTCAGATCTTGGACCGTGTTTCTAGCATGGCAAATTCAGGGGATAAGTGTCCTGTAGGGTGAGATTTCCTCTTATATTCCCAAGATTACTTTTCTATATCATAAGAACACTTTCTGTTTATATCTTGGGAGTATTATGATTGCAGTAATCCTGATGGAGATGTGGAAATAAATGACGTCTGGTTTGCTTATCCTTCTCGCCCCAGTCACATGATACTCAAGGTAACACAAATTGTCAAATTCTTTGTTAACACAAATTTTATCAGAAGAAACATAAAAAGGTTTAGGATGATGTCTGGTTAGTTTTTCCTTCACCTTATAGACAATTACCATGATGAAAGTATGGTAGAACAATCAAGGTTTGGTGTTTTTTTTTTTGTAATCTTCTTGACTCAAGCGTTACTAAAATGTCAGAGGAAACAATATTATACATTTTGGAGGATTATAACGCTGAATATGTGCAGGGAATATCGTTGAGGTTGACACCAGGTTCAAAAGTTGCACTTGTTGGACCAAGTGGTGGAGGAAAAGTAAGTTCAGATCAAACGGTTTTCTGTATATTATAAGAACACTTCCGGTTCGGTTTTAATACAGTTTCAGTTTTGGTTTGTTTTTCAAGAAATTAACATGTATTTCAATATGAAAGATTTGTAAAGAAATTGCTGTTTTGATCGGTTTTGGTTACGGAAATATGCAGACGACCATAGCCAATTTGATAGAGAGATTCTATGATCCTGTCAAGGGAAAGATTTTGCTTAATGGAGTTTCTTTGATGGAAATATCTCATCAATACCTTCACAAACAGGTAAATTTCTCTGTTTCTTGAATCATTCATGTCAATGGTAGAACCAAAATCTTGAATTTCCTCTGAATTCGTTTCAGATCAGCATTGTAAGCCAAGAACCGATTCTTTTCAACTGTTCAGTGGAAGAGAACATCGCATATGGATTTGACGGTGAAGCTAGTCTTTCAGATATAGAAAATGCAGCGGTAAGCACCTCCCAAAACAACAGTGAACCCGGTGTTTGAACCCTTATTGGCGTGAGCTGATCGGAAACAAAATGAAATGTTGTGGCAGAAAATGGCGAATGCACACGAGTTCATAGAAACATTCCCAGATAAGTATAAAACCGTTGTTGGAGAACGAGGAATACGTCTCTCAGGAGGACAGAAACAGAGGATTGCAATCGCGAGGGCGCTTCTTACAAACCCTAGAGTCTTACTTCTTGATGAAGCAACAAGTGCACTTGATGCTGAAAGCGAATATCTTGTTCAGGTAATAAAACAGGACTTTGGAATCAAACATCAAAAGACTAATTAAGATTAAAAGTCAAAAACTTACTCATATCTTGAAAATTCTGTTTGCAGGATGCGA